AGAGAAACAGAAAGCGAGAAATCACCCCCCAGGGGGGATGGTCACGCCGCAATCCCTTCTCCTCCATTCTCCTCCCGGGATCTTGGGTATGCACGCACACGCGCCCGGCGTGAGTTTTAAGCCACTAGGTCCAGGATGCGAACTGCGCTCTGCTACATGGGAGTCCAGAGACACAGCCATTACGCCAACTGCTGGTCCTGATTAATGCCACTCTTGAGGGGCCGGTTCGTTGCCGAAGGGCGAGCTCAGCCCTCTCCCTCCCGTGCCGTCTCTTGCCCTCTGTCCAGCGTTGGATGAGGGAGCATGAGCATCCTCACCAAACGGCCGGCCCTTTGCTGGGACCTTCCAGCCCCCGGAGCTGTGGGCCAGTACATGTCCGTCCGTTACGTGTTCCTTGGTCTGAGGCCAGCATGTGGCATGGGGGTGAAGGCCTGGGCTCTCACATGGCAAACTCTGCAGTTCAAATCCCAGAGCCAGTGGCCTGGCAAGCACACTGGACACGTGTGTGCCCCAAAGCCCAGATCCCTCAAGGACAGTGAGTGGAGGAGAAAGGTGGTGGGTGGTCATCCTTTCGGGGGCAAGGGGGTGATTTCTTACTTCCCCTTTCTCTCTCTCTGGTGAGCGATGTTCCCTATGGCAAAAACCTATATAATAATAATAATAATAATAATAATAATAATAATAAATTCTTGGTCCGTGGTGTCTTTTCGACAGCATGGGCAGGACAGACACCACGCAATGACCTGCAGTGGAAGGTCGCTGCCAGTGTGGCTCGGCTCACAGACACCAGGCGCTCTGCTAGCCGACCCCCTCTGACTCCCCCAGTGGTGGAACCTGCTTCTCGGGCCCCAGGGTAACTCCTGTCTGCCTCCCCCGGCCTCCCCTCCCCCTCCATCCTTACAGGTTTCGGAGCCTTGGGGATTGGGCCCTGGACTTTGCAGGCCTCTTGTCCAGCCCCTAGTCCTTAAATGTCATCTGTATGCCAGCAACCCCAGACAGGCACGGCACGCCTCCTCCCCACCAGGTGGCTCAGTGGCCTTCTTGCCCCGTCTGAAAATCTGATTGAGATCTGGTATTAACGTGGCCAAAAAGGGTCTCCCGGACGTGCCCTTGTCCGGTCCCTCCATCTTGGTTAGCAGCTCAGCCTCACTCAACATCCGCCACCATTCTCCACCCCACCCGCTCCCTCGCCTGTCACAGAGCAGGGCAAGCCCCTGCTTCCTGCTGGATCTCCTTTCCTTTGGCAGGCGGCAGCCAGGGGTTCTTGGTGACCTTGTCCAGTAACCCCGGGGGTGGAGGGGGTGGTGCCAGGACAGAGGGCAGCACCGGCAGGTGGCGCTGCTGACAGCTTGTCTGTGTGATGACTGGGAGCAGCACTGCTGGGTGGGGAGGGTCCGGGGTCAAAGCGCTTTACCAGACCGCCAAGTAGAGCATGCTCTTCGGGGTGATGACGGGGCAGGAAGACAGTGGTTTCTGGGAACGTGAGGGCGTCCAGCCCCCAGGTCTGCTGGCCAGTTGTGTCTGGAGGTGCACAGCGCACCTGGGCCCAGGTGAGGCTCTGCGGGCTGGGACGGCCGGGGGAGCCACTCCCATGGGGTTGACCTCTCCCTTGAAGAGCACGTGGGGAAGCAGAGGGGCTGCCTGGGAGCCGAGGAGAGGAAGCCCGGCAAGACAGCTGGAGAGGCGGACGGCCGCACCCCAGAGAGGAGATGTGCAGAGCGTGGCTGGACGCAGGCCCGGGACTCTGTGGTCTCCCCTGGGCACCTCAGCGCATAGCACCAGGGGACTTGAACAGTTGAGTCCACTCAAGATGGAATTAAAGTATGGGTGGGCTGGGGGCCAGCAGATAGTGTAGTGGTTGTGTGGACTCCCACGTGACCGAGCGCAGTTCAAGTGCCGGACCTGGTGGCTAGAAAGTCACTCTGGGCGCGTGTACCCATTCCCAAAGTCCCAGGAGGAGAGTGGAGGAGACAGGATTGTCTGTGTGGCCATCCACCCTGGGGGTGATTTCCTACTTTCCCTCTTACTATCTCTGTCTCTGTCTCTCTCTCTGGTGAGTCCACATGCCCTAAAGCAAAAACCTTTTTTAAAAAAAGTAGGAGCGGGCCAGGTGGTGGTGCGAGGAAGGTCCTGGCACACACCCCACCGCCTGAGGCCGCCGGCATGTGTCCTGGGCCTGGCACCGAGACGGAGCGGGCAGCGGGGATGCTGAGGCTGCTGGGATGCTTCTGGAGCCTGGGGTCAAGTAACTGGAGTGCGGAGCCACACAGAGGGGAGAGGCTTGCCGGTGAATCCCAGCGTACTTGACTGTGCCTGCTCTGCTCACCTGACTCTCTGTCTCTCCCTCTCTGTCTCTCCCATGGAAGAAATCATTTTGTTGTCCAAGCTGTGAATCATTCACTCGCTCACGGGTCAGAACACTGAGGTTGACACGGCCCTGCTCTCTGCCCTCAGTGACACGGCGGTGACAGCAGCCACACTGGCGAGGCCACTAAGAGCGGGAGAGATAAAGAAACTTTCAAAAAAATAAAGTGAAAGAAATTTGAAATCATGCATAATTTCACGGTGTGCATGCTGTGGGTCACTTACACCTGTCACCTTCAAACCTAGCTGTCACCTGGCAGCGGAGTGGGCCTGGGTACAGGACCCGAGTGGGCGGGAGGCCCAGGGCTGGGTGTGGACGTCGGGGCTGCCCAGGATGGCGTGGGCGGCCAGGTTCGGTGGGAAGCGGGGCGAGGCCCTGGGTGGCGGCCAAGAGGGAAGAAGAACATGGAGAGTGACAGAGACTGAGCGGGAGGGCTGTCCGGAGGACGAGAGCGGCCTGGCATTCGTCTGGTTTCTAGCCCAGCCCCTGCGGAGCTCCTCTGCTCCCACCCTGCTGCTCCTCTCTGCTTCTGTCCAGACCCTGGGACTTCGTCGGGCGCCGTCGGCGGACGGAGCTCCGGAGGCCCAGCTCCCTTTAGCCATGACCCTGCTCTTCCCTTGGGTGTGAGGTGGGGTTTGCACGGAGAGCAGGCTGGGACCTGTGGAATGGTGGCCGCAGGCAGCTGGCTGTGGCAGGCGGCCCCGGCCTGGGCTCTGCGCTGGGGCCAGCAGCCTGTCCTTGGCGCAGCGCTCTGTCCTTCCGGTGCGACAACCGCAGGACTGGCCGGCCCGGGGTGTGGGTCGGGCTCCGCTCTGCCCACCTGGTGTGGGACCTGGGCAGCCTCAGACACGCGGGTGCCAGCCAGGGAGCCGGGCCGGCTGGAGGGCCGCAGAGGGGGTGGTGTGTGAGGCCCTGCAGGGGTTCCTCTCCCTCTAACTAGATGAATGAAGAAACCTTAAAAGTAGTTAAAGGACGTTGCTAGAGAGTGTTCTGGCCAGAGCTCCGTTCACTGGCCCCAGGCATGGAGCCCCCAGGTGGGCGAACTCAGCTGGTGACCCCGGGCGCCTGGACCCTGCCTGCCCTGGAGATGAGGCCCCAAGGAGAGCCCAGAGCCCAGAGAGGGGCCACTGCCCTGGCCGCCGACCGCCCGGGCAGGCGCTGCAGAGCGGGCTCGTGGCCTTCGATGGGTGGGGGTTTCTTGCACAGTTTCCATTAGCCGCCCCCCTCCTCGCATCCCTCCTTCCCGTGAGCTCACGCTGAGCCCGGCACCTCATCCTCTCAGCTTGGGGAGTTAATTGGGGCTGCGGCTGGAACTGGGGGGTGGCTGAGAGCCACAGCCTGGGGAGCAGTCCACGGAGTCCCTGACTCAGTGACCAGCTGAGGAGCCAGAGCAGGGTGACAGAAGACCACCGGCCCAGAGAGGTGGCCTGACCCTGAGCCAGGACAGACGTTGAGACTCCGAGCCCTGGACTTCCTCGAGGCATGGGCCTGGGGGGCGTGCCCCGGGAGGGCCAGGCCCTGCCTGTGGGAATGGTGACCCCTGCCACAAAGGCCAGGCAGGCACCCGTCCCACTGCCGAGGGGGAGGGCACCGGCTTTCGCAGAGGGCCACAGGGTTCCGTGTCTCCCGGAGTCAAGGTTGGCTACACATTGAGAAAAAGCAAAGCCCCGGACGCTGGTAATTCAGGTTCCCTTGGCAAATCGGGTGGGAGTAACCTGTGCCGGGCGGGGCAGGCTTGGCGTGGGCACCAGGGAGCAGCACGGGGCTGTCGTTTCAATCAGGCACAAACACAGCGGAGAAAGTAAACACTTGAGAAGGCACTTGACCTTCACAATGCCGAGCTCTAAAAATAGACACCCGCAGAGTGGTGCTGCACACAGGAGGCCGCGATTTCCCCCTGGAGAGGCTGGCTGCAAGCTCACTGAGCAGCACAGCCGGGTACCTGGAGTCCGAGGACCGTGCTGTCACCTGGTGGTGACGGGGACAGCCCCATGGCGTGGCTGTGATGAGGGCAGCCCGTCTCCTGACTGGGCTGAAGGTGGCCCGTCCCCTGGGGGCAGCTCTTCAGGTGGCCAGAGCTGCTGACTGGGACAAAGAGACCTGTCCTGGTCCCCCCGTGGTTTCGCTCCTGGCTCGGTTCCTCTCCTCCCCCTCCATGTTTCCGTGGGAACCATCCTCCAGGTCAGAGAGCAGAACGGCCAGCCCCTGGGCACTGTCTGAGGGCAGCATTGTCTCTAAATCTCTTTTGGAGTGCTGGGTTAGAAGCTGCCGTGTCCGGGGTTGTGGCGTGGGTGCACGTGCAGGTGCCGGCCTGGCCCAGGGAGGAGAGCGGAGGGCGGTTGTCGTCTGGCACCCCGTCTCTGTGTGCCGTCTCCTCCTGGAGGGGGCTGGTCATGGTCACCCGGCTGACCCTCCGGCCTGCCCCGGGTGCAGGGGCCATGAGCAGCAGAGGGTCCTTGGGAAGGGCACGAGCTCTCCTTTCAGCCATCATTTTAGCACATTTCCATAGGGAAGTCCTGCCTGAAACCGTGCCAGCCCAAACAGAGGATGAAGATCCCCGGGCTGCTTGGAGAGACTGTCCCTCACAGTCCTCACATCTCCAGGGGTCTTTGCACTTGCCAGGGCCCAGTCCCCCCCGGGGGCCCGCCGGCATCTGGGAGTGGAGAGTCACGGAAGATTTGTTCCCTAACTCCCTTTTGTCTAGGTCATTTAAAAACAGAACTGCAGGTTGGGACCAGCAATTTGTGTGATGGTTGAGGCACTGGATCCTCCCAGGGCTGACCACGGTTTGAGTCCTTGGATCACGCTGAGTGTATAATGTGTGCATGCCCAAAATCCTGAGAGGAGACAGGAGCTACGGTGAGGCCTTCCCTCCTGGGGGATTTCTCACTTTCCCTCTCTCTGTCTCTCTCTCCAGCAAGTGTGTATGCTCCATGGCAAACAAACAAACAGATAAAACCAGGAACAAGACAAAACAAAAAGAACTGAACAGCAGGCCAGCCAGAGTGGCTCGGTAGACATGTGACACTTGGCCACGCCGGGACATGCCACTGAGAAGGCCGGTTGAGCCCCCTGCCCCGCTGCCCAGCTGGCTGTGGGGCCATAAAAACTGCAGGGCATCCCTGCCTCTCTGCTTCCCTCTCTCATAGAGATACACTTATTTTTGAAAAGCAGACTGAAGTGAATTTGTTGCTCTCTGAGTGGCTGGCTGGGTGTGGGGAAGGGGGTCAGTGCTGTGGTCACCGAGGTTCTGCGGGGGCAGCCAGGCCTTAGGGTGCCTTCCGGGGCCAGTGGAGCCCCTGCGGCAGGGGCTCTGTTCACGTCTCCCTTTCCACCCTGCACAGCTGCCCTGCCCTGCCCTCTGCGGGCCTCTCTTCTGTCCGACGACCACATCAAGGTTTCGAACTCAGGACGACAAGCCAGCCATGTCTGGGCCCCGTGGTCGGCGTCCCTGTCTGCTCGAGCTCACAGATGCGTTCGCTCACGTTGCCGGTGGCACCAGCTGTCACCGGATGGAGCCAAGCGTTGCTCTCGGATTCCGTGACTGATGTCTGCACGGCTGATGGGCTACCGGCTGGCGGCTCTGCCCTCGGGAAGGCACACCGCGAGGGCCACGCAGGAGTGAGAAGCCCAACCAGTGCTCCACCGCGCCGAGTGAGAAGCCGGCACGCAAGTGCACACGCTCTTCTCAGAGCCTGGGAGATGACACGGCCCCTTCTGCGCAGCGTTCCCAGAGTGAGGCCAAGCGGGTCTCTCCTCCCGCAGAGGTCTCGGGTGCTCTCCACTGGGAGGGCTTATTTGTGTATTTATTTGTTTTTTCCATAGGGCATGTGCACTCACCAGAGAGAGACAGTGAAAGGGAAAGTGAGAAATCACCCCCCGGGGGATGGCCACGCTGCAATCCCTTCTCCATTCTCCTCTCGGGATTTTGGGCACGCACACACTTGAACCCAGCATTGATTTTTAAGCCACTGGGTCCAGGACTCAACCAGAAAGTCAGCCATGTAGGATTCAGCTCCTTAACCCCCATTCCACCTGCTGCCCCTGGGGCTGGGCACCCCTCCGCTAGGGAACAGCAGAAACGCCATGTTCTAGAACACCCTGGAGGCATGAACTCCGAACGGAGACTGCGGGGAAAACGGCGAACACGTCTGACCTCTTGTCCTCCTGCTGGAAACCGGCAGGGTGCCATTACACGGGTGTGTGATTTGATAAACACCGTCAAGCCTTTGGCCTCATTTGTCCACACCTCCCTCACAGATCCTGAAACCACCCTGCACCAGGAAATACCCTTATCTACTCCTCTAAGAAGCAACTTCCTCTAAAAACAACTTTCCTTCCTCCTTTGCCCTAATGAACATGGAGGACGAGAGAGGCTGGGAGACGGCCTGTCTGCTATGGCCTCTCGCCCTCGACTCACACCTCTGGGTCTTGCGTAGACCTCCCATGTGCGCTTCAGGTGATTCTGCCGGAGAGAAGTCTCACCCCTCGGGCGATCTGGGGGGCCTGCGGATGCCTGGTCAGACAAGGTTTCCAACACGAAATTAGGCACACAGGGAACCAGCAGTTAGCGTAATGGCTATGTCGCTGGATTCACACGTAGTCGACCGTGGTTCGTGTCCCGGACCCGGTGGCTTAAAACTCACGCCGGGCGCGTGTGCGTGCGTGCCCAAGATCCCGAGAGGAGAATGGAGGAGAAGGGATTGTGGTGTGACCATCCCCTCTGGGGGGGTGATTTCTCGCTTTCTGTCTCTATGTCTCTCTCTCTCTCTCTGTCTGGCGAGTGCACGCGCCCTGTAGCAAAAACCTCTCCAAAAAAAAAGAAGAAGAAATTAGGCACACAGGGCGGGCGGGTTGTACTCTGTGAACGTGGCGTGGCGGACCGAGGAGCAGCAAGGAGCTGGCAGACTGAGTGAGGCATTTGCGAGGGGATCTGCAGTCCCACGGCCCTGCTCACACCGGCGGGTCAGATTCCAGCTGTCCAGCTGAGCTTCACTCTCCCAGTCACAGAACTGTCAGCCAGAAAAAGACAAAAAGAAAGAGAGAAAAAGGGGGAAAAAATAAGCATTTTAGGCAACCAAGTTGGTTCTTTCTTCTTTTTTTTTGTTTTTGTTTTTGTTTTTTTTTTTTTTGAAAG